TCGACAATCAGCTGCTATTACTTAATTATTCAATACGCTACCATCGTACATTCTGCTGTCATTTCAGCTCTGGCCTGGGGTATTTTGGCGGTCCTTGTCCATATGTTTAGACACAAAAATGTTTATTTTATTTAGAAGATGTGTACTGTCCACATCTTCTAAATTTTTATTATATTTAGAAGATGTGGACAGTACAGTTTGGCTGTTTTTTCTATGGAGCTGAGATTCTTTACTCACCGAAGACGGATGGGCAGGCGTTCTGCAGCGGGGATCCAGCGTCTGCAGATGGTGTCCCGAGGGCTGATTTGTCCCCCAACATGGGACAAAAGGTCTTCAAACTGGTTCCTGGATAGACAGAAGTACCGCTGAAAGCAACCGTCATCCAGACACTGCTCCAGGAGTAAGTGGTGGTGCTCTACAAACTGGTTCCGTCTCTGGTGAACCCAAGGACGTCGACGCTGACGACCTTGTTCGGAGTACAATAAGTAAAGCACCGTGACTCGCTCCATATTGAGTTGAAACCGGCAAGCAGCTGGTAGTGCCTCCTCCCATTTGATGACGTAGTGAAGGGAGTGGAGCGTTATCGCCCGTTGGCAACACGATTTGCTGGCGAAATGTCAGGCCAGCGACAGCACATGAAAGAGGCAAAAAATTGCCTAAAATCGCAGTCAGTCTGAACGCACCTTTATAGTGAAAAACGTTAGCCTAGCATTTTGCATTATATGTTGCGCATTTGGTTTTTCACACTTGTGCTTGATAAACAAATCTTATCCAATTTACCTTCTACTGTCTCAAACTCAGTATTGTTTCCAGATCTAATAAGTTGTCCAGACCTTGAGTCTGATATGGATGTTTCAATCTTTTCAAGATACAGGGAAGCAAAGCTCTTCTTGAGTTAGGATGTATTGCATGCAAAGGATGTCAGAAAGTCTGCGTTGATGAAGTATCAAATTACATGTATACAGCTCTTTATTTCGCTTTATACAAGATAGACAAAGAGCTTTCCTAACTGGACTCCTTGAATTACATTGTTGAGATGAGGAATTATTAATGTGCAGACACATAAGACAATCCTTGTCTTGGTCCTTTAAAAGCAACCACAAAGGGACTCGAACCCTCAGTCTTCTGATACGACGTCAGATGCCTTGTCCGTTAGGCGACGTGGTCCTACACCCAATAGCTGCGTGGTGTTCACAACCACCAAGTGCTGAGCAAGTACCGAAACATTTTAGCCATGCATTAGCAAAGTCAGAAACCCTATTAATGTGCGTTCAGATCCAACGTGAATGACGCAACAGGGGCCAGCGATTTACGTGTTAACCCTATGTAAAGGCCGGTCAGGAGCCAGTGAAGCGAAGGACGCAATACGAACGGTGCGATTAGGGCGAATAGAGCCAAGCGAAACCCGTGATGGAGGCGAAGCAAATTACGCTGGAGTGAAAAATCGGAACTTTTCTGTAAATTTGCGTTGCGTCTATAGCCCTCTTTTCAGCACAACAGTTGTCATGCAAATATGAAACTCACACCAGTTGCTCACGGTACATCTCTGTTCATGTAGGAAATGATATTTTATTCATAAGTATTTAATCTACAGATGCATATGTCAGCAAGTCTGATTTCTATGTCGACAATCAGCCGCTATTACTTGATTATTCAATACGCTACCATCGTACATTCTGCTGTTATTTCAGCTCTTGCCTGGGGTATTTTGGCGGTCCTTGTCCATATGTTTAGACACAAAAATGTTTATTATATTTAGAAGATGTGGACAGTACAATTTGGCTGTTTTTCTATGGAGCTGAGATTCTGTACTCACCAAAGATGGATGGGCAGGCGTTCTGCAGCGGGGATCCCGCGTCTCTAGATGGTGTCCCGAGAGCTGATTTTCCCCCAACGTGGGACAACAGGTCTTCAAACTGGTTCCTGGATAGACAGAAGTACCGGTGATAGCAACCGTCATCCAGACACTGCTCCAGGAGTAAGTGGTGGTACTCTCCAAACTGATTCCATCTCTGGTGAAGTCAGATTCTTACTTAACCTGCAAAAAATGATTTTCCATGTAAAATGTCCGTTCACAAAGCTTGACCAGTGACTTGTCATCATTATCAGGAAAAAAAAACCACAACAATCCTTGGCCCCCGCTGGATTATATTTTATGCCTGTGTATTTTTACTCTTCTCAAGTATATATTCTTTGCAATGCTTAAAACTTTAAGAAGTATGTGGGATCAGGTTATTTGGACATCACAACTTGAGATGTCACCTACCAGGCACAGTGATGGGCAGATTGAGATGGTGTACTCTAGGCAGCTGCAGCTGATCCAAAATGCTGCTGCCTGTGTTCTCACTAAAATGTGTTACACCACTTGTTTGCTGAATATTGGACCATTTGCACTTTCTGGACGCCACTCTGCCTTTCCAACATCATCGGCCATTTTGTATCCAGGACAGTCCGTTACTACAAATCTCATTGGACAGTGCGGCTGATATGACGGGGGCGTCCCAAGTCTGACGTCACAGGAGATTATAAAGGAAGGTGACCCCCTTTAAAGAACGCCTTCAGCTGGAGACCTTGACACGGTTACCACGCAACTGAAGCATCCTCTGGAGAAGAAGAGGTCNAAGGAAGGTGACCCCCTTTAAAGAACGCCTTCAGCTGGAGACCTTGACACGGTTACCATGCAACTGAAGCATCCTCTGGAGAAGAAGAGGTCCCACGTGGAGTCTTCATTTATTCTCTTTCGTTGGCCAACAAAAAATTCATAAAAGAGGTTTCTGGAATAAGAAGGCTAGAAATTTCACTTTGCTGATCGAAGACGTGAGTTTAAGACGTAACCAAATAAAACCTATAGGAGGTTTCAAGGAGACAGATCGCCGCCTTGTTTTGTCCAGTCGACTCCTGACAGTCAGATCATATGTTACCCTTCCGCCAAGGAGGCCAGAGGACGAAGATTGACCGCTCTTCCTGAAGTTAACTGTGGACGCACGTTAACTTCCAACTTCCAACACAAACAACCACACACACACTCATTCATTCATACACCTAAGGGCAATTTAGAGAGACCAATTGACCTAACAGTCATGTCTTTGGACTGTGGGAGGAAGTTGGAGTAGCCGGTGAGAACCCACGCATGCACAGGGAGAACATGCAAACTCCATGCAGAAAGACCCCTGGCCGGGAATCAAACCCAGGACCTTTTTGCTGCAAGGCAACAGTGCTACAAGCTATGCCACTGTGCAGCCCCTAAATAACTGAATCTGACTGCACTGTTCATCATTGTTTTTATTGGTCATTGCACATTACAATGAAATTTGTCCTCTGCATCCTCTCCCTTATAGGGAGCAGTGGGCTGCCATTGTGCGGCGCATTCTGGGGCAAAGGGTCTTGCTCAGGGACCCTGAGTGGCTGGTTAAGAAATTAATTTAGTCAAATTATGACTGTTAATTATAATTCTTGATAAATATTAATTAATCAATAATCATAATTCCAACAAATGTAAAGAAACCACATCATCCCAGCTTTAAAGTCCTTGTATCTCGGAGAACAGACTTTAAAATACTTCTGTTAGTTTATAAACCACTGCATGGCTTCGCACCAAAATACATTAAAGATTTGTTGTTATTAAATCAACTCCCAGACCAATTAAGTCTTCTGATTCAAATCTACTATGCATTCCCAGAATCAGAACCAAACATGGGTTAAGGACCATTCAGTTCTTATGATCCACCTAAGTGGAACAAACTTTCAGAAAACTGCAGAAATGCTGAAACCCTAAGTTCTTTTAAATCAAAGTTAAAAACCCATTTGTTCAGAGTTGGCTTTGACTGTTCTATTTAAAGTATTACTGTAACTGAAACATCAATAATTTCAGTCTGTAGTCCAACTTTTCTTTACTTCCCTTTAATATGCTACTGAAGCTGTTTTGGAATGTGTTGCAAGCCAGCCACCCTTCCCTGCTTTTCAAGTCAGCACAAATTGGTATTGCCACAGGCAAATACTCTGGTAAGAACTAGTTTAAAAACTCTAAATAAAGCCCTTTAATACAGGTTCTGGGCATTACTCTAGGCCCATCCTTTTCCAAGCATTTTGCCTCTGGATAACATTACACATATCACTTCATACTGTTCAAATTTCCTGCTCACTGACAGGTGTTTAAACAACAGTTACTAACACTTCTTGACCACCTGAACTATGCCATCTCTATTATTTGTTCATGATATATCCTTCACTTAAAGTTCCTTGTCTAAAGCAGACAGCATCATGCCTCTTTATAGCCTGCTCATCCTTGATAACTCTCGTAAAATGGAAATGCATCTGACATTTCTTTCTGTCCTCTTTAAAATGTATATCTTTGTTTTATAATGATTTCATAACTAGTCCTGACATCATTTAGATCTACACACACAGAATGAGAGATACCAACAGACTTAAAAGTATGATTACTGTATGAACACAGATTGGTCAATTTAGTAGAATGAATGTCAGCTGAAAGGAGAATGTGCAGAGGTAGCTGAGGTTAAACACTGGGGAAACAAGAGACAATGGCTGATAGACAGAATACACAGGAAACCCATGGGGCAAGGATGCAGAAACCAGAAAAGTAAACAAGCAAGACACGAACATGACTCAAAGTTAGAATTAACCAGACTTTAATCCAAAATTTACCCAAGAAATTCAGAAACAGGAGCAGTGGGAAACACAAAATAAACACACAAAATAAACACAACACAGAGTTAAGAAAGGAGCTTTCAAAACAGAACAGGAACTAAAATCAACAGACAATAAAAGACAATCACCCCAAAATGGCAAAAGACAGCAACTCAGTGGAAAAAAACATTCAAAGTACAGAACCAAAAGTATGAGAAATCTCACTAAGGAATGGGCTGAATATGGAAAGCCAAGAGTGACAAATCAATAAATAAAGCAAAGCACAAATCCAAAGTCCCAAATATCATGAAAACTTAATTGAGCCCAAATGGAAAGTTAAGTGAGATCCCCGATGATTACATAAGGGGTATATTTCAATCTGACATAATTATGTCTATTCAAGCTTAAAATTTGTTTTTTGGAGAAATTATGTACAATTTCTGAAACAACTGCAGACTAAAATATCACTGGTTTCAATGCAAGCCTCCAAGACAAGACATGGCAGTTAAGAATTTGCAATTAACAATTTCGGTGTAACTGCAGCAACTTTATCCAAATAAAATCTTAAGATATTCAGTCAGTTTGCTAGACAGAAGTCAAGTTAGAGCTGGTACAACTCTAAATAAACTGAAGCACACAGCTCTAATCTATGGATGCAGAAAACAGTTCTGAGAACAATGAGCTAAACATATTGCACGAGCATGAAGATAATTTAAAAATGAACTCATGCTTGACTGCTCCTTACCTATGATGTTATGTCTCTAGGCTTGTTGTTACATGCGAAGAAACGATCTGGCTGACTGAGGTGGATGAAAAAAAAAGCAGCATTTGATGTTTATTAGTGGTGAGAACAAAAACGTTTCAGTATTTGTCTGAAAATGTCAACCTTTTAGCACCCGCTCAGAGCAGGAAGAAAATTTAAAAAAAGAAAAGTACGAAATAAAAGAAAAGTCACCTTAAGTAAGATTATTATATTGTGCCATTCCACAAGAAAGTCATCTAGGGAAACGAAATATAAAATGTTAAGAAGACTAATTATAATTAACCCCTTTTTAGTTCAACAGAGTTCAGTTCATATGCTTTTACCCTGTAAGTAATATTTCTGAAACATAATACAGAAATATACCAAACAAAAGGAGACAAAGTGCCAACAAACTGGTATTAATGCATTTAACCCTATGCACGCTCTCCAGGGTCCTCAGTGTGGTTCTCCAGCTGTAATATGGCCCTGCAGATGATGGTTAGGGGACCAGAGAAAGTGTGTCTGTTAAGGAGTGTCTCGACTCTCTGTTCAGGATCTGTTTCAAAGCTGCTGCAGGTATAGGGATCTGAACATTGTCAGAAACTCGTCACACAAACTTCACGATCTTCATTTTTGAAGTGTTCCCTTTAGGACAACAGTTGCTCATCAAAAGTGGAACCACCAGACAGCTGCACAGCTTTCTGCCTCAAGCTGTTCAAATACCAAACTGCTGTTTTTACATTATTGCATTTATTGTATTTCTTTTTCTATTTGTGTT